TCCCAATTATCTCCAGGATAGAAGACTCTGTGGAACTGGTTTTGGGCAGAAAAGCCATGCTTCCTTTGGTCACAAAGGACTACGATCTATCTTTTGAACCACTGGACCAATTTGGATGATTTTGACATATGTTTGTATTTGGAGTATGCTGATTGATATGCTGAAAATGTAAGTTTTATGTGAATGTGATGCATAGTTTTCAAGTTATGAATAATGTGGAAAAATTGTATTTCTCTGCTTGTGATAATTACATTACCCATTGTGTAAGGTAATTGTATCACAGGCAGAGAGATGATTTTGTGTGGGAGCGTCTGAGTGTATTGTATGTGTTTATTGGTTGTTTTCCAAAACCCTGTGGGTGGTACTAATGTGTATATAAGAACAATAAACCCACAGCTCTGTCTGTTCACTGCTTGACCCTCAACACAGAGCCTTGTCTCGTTCTTGGGGGGATTTATTGTATGCTGTTCCAGTTCGACTGCTAGGAGTGTAAACCTATTCGTATGGTTTTTCCTATTCGGCTGTTTACAGCATTCATATGGTTTCATGTTCGGCGGATGTGCCTGTGTCTCTGGAAGGGAAGATCTACTAAACAGCGGTTTAACCCTTTTATGCCTGGGGGTGTCGTTACATTGCTTAATCCTGCTTTAGTAAAACTTCCCAGTTGCAAACAAACAAAACCTTTCAGCAATAAGCAAGATATAAAACTCCAAGGAAATCATTATATATCTGCTTCTGGTGTTTTCTCTCATTTTATTTCCCCTGTTTTATTCCTTTTTTTTACTCCTCTACCCCACTTCAATGTTGGCCTTGCGTCAGAAGCCTGCATCTCACCTGCTCCACTTGTTTAGCTTTTCCCTCCTCTCTTATGGTGTTTGGGTCCCTGCCACTCCTATACTCACCTCCCCTGCCTCTAGGTTGTTGATCTATTCATTGCTAGGCTGCAAGACTTGTGTTTCACATGTGAGTTTAACTGGCCATTTTGGCTTTGGGTGAGGTTGAGTGTTGGCATTCAGGACCTCCCCTCCTCTTTTCTCACCACAGTGCTGCACTAGTCACTGCTCACTGGATGTTGGGTCTACTTCCTGACTCTTTGTAACCCCCTATTTCTTTTCTATTAGCTCTGTTTGCGTGAGCCCTTTTGGGAAACATCTGATTTCCTATGCTTGTCTTCATGATGCAGTGTCATCTCCATGACTGTCTTTTGGCTCTAGCCAGAATTCATAAAGTCTTCAGAGCCCACTCAGTTAGAGGTGTGGCATCCTCATCAGCCTACGTGTCCAGTGTGACCTTTTCGGATACACTAACTTCATCTGATTGGTCCAGAGAATGTGAAAGCACACACAAAGTGAAACACTATGTTAGATATTACCCATTCCTTGTTAAGGGTAATTCGAGTTTACAACTGGATCTCTAAGATTGATAAAGGAGAACATTTCTAAAGGTGTATTATGTTTTCCAATTTTAAGTGTGTATATGTTTATTGGTTACACTCACTACTTAGGGAGCCAGCAATATCATCTGTATTTGATAGTAATGGGTTGGCAGCATCTCAATCGATATTGAAAAATAATTTACCATAACCACTATAATATATAGGAGTTCTGATATGGCTGTATAGTCAGGGTATCAAGAATGTAACCCTAAGATAAAAACTTCAAACCAAATAAACCAATACTACCCCAAAGGGAAGCAATAGTTATATACCTTCACCAATTAAAACATGTGTAAACTTTTTTTCATTATTCATTAAAAATCCCCCCAAAAATCAATACAACATCACTAGACAAATGAGCTGCATGTAGATCAATAGACCAATTGAAATCTTCAGAGGATAAATAATTTCCCCATATGCTTGTATTTATTGATATATAGTTAGAAGGGTAAACTGGACTCCTTTAATGGGATTTATAGCCAAGGGATCGACGTTAATTATTCCATCTACAAAGGGCTAAACTTTTAGAGATCAATGGTTATTTGAACTATTTGAATAAATAAAGCCTAAAACTGGTCCAATCAATTGCAAATAAGCACCAAATAATTAGGTTGCTAAGGCATAAATTATCCCTTTATTTAAAGGTGAAATTAAAGATTAGTTGAAACTAAGTTGTAGTAAAATTTTGAATAGACATTATAATATCAGATAAAAATTCCCTCACAATAAGGTATTTCTACTCACATGAATAGACCTTTAACCTACAAATATAACTTAATAATATATGAGTTAACACTCCTTAAAGGGACACTTTAGTCACCAAAATAAAGCTTGATGAAGCAGTTATGGTGTATAGATCATGCCCCTGCAGTCTCACTGCTCAGTTATTTGCCATGTAGGAGTTAAATCACGTTGTTTATATAGCCCTAGTCACGCCTCCCTGCATGTGACTTACAATGCTTTCTTAAACACTTCCTGTAAAGAATCATCTGATGTTTGCACTTCCTTTATTGCAAATTCTGTTTAATTTAGAGTTTATTCTCTCCTGTTCTGATAATAGCCTGTTAGACCCTGCAGGAGCCTCCTGTGTGTAAGTACAGTTCAATTTACAGACCAGGAGAAACACATTTTTAAAGTAAGTTACATCTAATTTAAAAATAAAACCATTTGTTTTCATACAGGCTGTGTGAGTTGCAGATAGGGGAGATGTGACTTAGGCAAACAAAAACAAAAGTGATTTAACTACTAAATGGTGGAGAATTGAGCAGTGAGAATTCAGAAGCACAAAAACTGCTTCATTAAAGGACCACTCTAGGCACCCAGACCACTTCAGCTTAATGAAGTGGTCTGGGTGCCAGGTCCAGCTAGGGTTAACCCATTTTTTCATAAACATAGCAGTTTCAGAGAAACCTATTTCACACTTTTGATGCTCTTCTTTGCCCTTTTAATCCCCCTCCTTCTAACACCATGTCCACCACAAACTTTGCATCTCACTTCCCCCACCATTCAACACTCATTTGCACCTGCTACAGCAAAAGCGGTTTCTGCTCTGCTCCAGTCCTCTGGCCCCACCTCCTGTTCCCTCGATCCTATTCCTTCATATCTCATCCGCACTTTGTCTCCCTCTCTTGCTCTTCCTCTCACTAAAATTTTCAATCTCTCCCTTTCCTCTGGCACATTTCCCTCACCCTTCAAACATGCAACTGTAACCCCAATTTTGAAAAAGCCCAGCCTTGACCCCAACTCCCCATCCAACTACCGCCCTATCTCGCTACTGCCTTTTGCCTCCAAGATCCTCGAGAGAGTTGTGTACACCAGACTGACTGACTTTCTCAAAACCAACTCTCTGCTTGACCCCCTTCAGTCTGGATTCTGCGCTGGTCATTCTGTCAAAACAGCTGTGACCAAAGTATCCAAAGATCTAATTGCTGCTAAATCTCGTGGCCATTACTCTATCCAGATTCTTTTTGATCTTTCTGCTGCCTTTAAAACTGTTGATCATCAACAGCTTCTTTGCATTCTCTGTAATTTTGGTCGATGGGATGCTGCTATGTCCTGGTGCTCCTCCTACCTCTCCCAGTGCTCTTTCAGTGTTTCTTTCCAAATGAATGGCTGCTCACTTCCTTAAACTCAACCTGTCCGAAACAGAATTTCTGGTCTTTCCTCCCTCAAGTGTTACTACTCCCGTGTCTGTCTCCTTCCAAGTCAACAGCGCTACCATCACCTCTACCTCGCAGTCTCGCTGCCTTGGTGTTCTTTTCGACTTCAACCTCTCCTTCACCCCTCATGTCCAATCAATCGCCAAATTCTGTTGCTTCCATCTCAAAAACATAACGCGCATCCGCCCCTATTTAATCCCTGATGCGGCTAAGGTGCTGGTCCATGCTCTTGTTCTCTCTCGTCTGGACTACTGCAGTACTCTTCTAAGTGGTCTTACATGTTCCCAGATTGCACCGTTGCACTCTATAATGAATGCAACGGCAAGGATCATTTTCCTGCCCGCTCGCACCTCCCACGCTTCGCCGCTCTGTCAGTCCTTGTATTGGCTTCCAGTTAGATATAGGGCTCAATTTAAAATTCTGGTGCTTGCTTACAAGTCCCTACATAATGCTGCTCCAACCTACCTATCCTCCCTAATACACAAGTATGTCCCGTCGAGGCCCCTACGCTCTGCCAAAGACCTACGTATATCCTCTGTTCGTACTCCCACCTCGAACGCTCGCCTCTAAGACTTTTCCAGGGCTGTACCTCTTCAGTTAAACTCCCTTCCCTTCTCCGTAAGAATTTCACCAAGTCTCCACTCATTCAAAAAAATCATTGAAAACTCTCTTCTTCAAGAAAGCATATCAATTAAACTGCTAGCAGGTTTTTATCCCCCACACCCCATGACTCCTCTTCTGCAACTGTCAAAAATTACCTACTAAGCCCTCAGTGAATACTTTTCTAACAACCTACTTCGTACCCCTACTTTTACCCATTGTGTCACTATACCCCACTCCCTCTAGAATGTAAGCTCATTGAGCAGGGCCCTCCACCTCTCTGTTCCTGTACGTCCAGTTGTCTGGTTACAATTACATGTCTGTTAGACCACCTATTGTACAGTGCTACGGAATCTGATGGCGCTATATAAATAATAAAATAATAATAATAAAACAAATACAATACACTGTAGTTGTTCTGGTGACTACAGTGTCCATTTAAGAAAAATCTGTGTTTTTTTTTTACATATTATTCATGTGTTATGAATACATATACGGTATCAGAAGAAAGTCCTATCTGTCTTCTGAAAAATAATGTATTATTATTAACTATAGTACACAATATAATTTGTTGGTGCACTTTTAAAGAAAGTGTTAAATTAAGATGGACTGACCAGAAAGTGATTTTTTTCTTTTTAGCCACTAGCACATTATCTCTCAAGAAACACTTGATCTTTAAAGAGTGATTGGGCCTATTTTTTTGTTCAAACAAAAACTCACCAATGACCTCAACGATAACAGAAGGGCTCCTTTGTGATGTTATATTTCTCCCATATACGTTGATAGAGTACAAACAGGAATATTGCCCAGAATCCTCGCGAGTCATATTCAAAATGCCATAACTTCTAACATTATCAGCAGTTTTCTGCATGTAGACTTCTTTTTTATTTTTGTAAAACTGACTTGCAACAGAATTCTTTTGAGAAAAGGCGCATGTGATACTGACATTCTCTCCCTTCACATACACAGGACACAGTGGGTTTAGAAAGATTGAAGGAAACGGAGGAGAATCTGTAATAGAGAAAGACATAAGATATAGAAATTACAATATATTACTTATCAACCAATGATTGAAGTAATGGAAGTAAAAATTATTCCTCATGGCTTCACTTAACTCTTACATATACACATTATCTGCAACTTAGGCTTGGGGGCAATTTTACATGCAATCTTTTAAATTCAAGTAAATAACTTATGTAGAGAGTCAAAAATGGGTCGCAAGAGAATACTGAGGACGGGCAGCAGCTGAAATAGCCTGCCCTTCGGTCGGTCCCCGCTCAGTTCTCAAGCTGATTTTTGCTCATCTTGTGCCATTACAGAGAGAACATATGTGAAGCATATCAGACTGGTCCCACCCATACGGGCAGTCCAGATCCAAAATGCCAGCAAGTTCTCTCTGCACGAGAGATACAGCAACCCCAGACGATCGTTTCAGCCTTATTAGGCATCATCAGTGAGCATCATTAAAGGGATAATCCAGACGTGGACCCCTTGCTCACGGTGCCTAGAGAGATATCAGCTATGCCTCACTGATGATGCCTAATAAGGCTGAAACGATCGTCTGGGGTTGCTGTATCTCTCGTGCAGAGAGAACTTGCTGGCATTGAGTAGGGTAGGGTGCAATAGTTAACTGCACTATTTGCTCCCTTTAAACCTCTGTGTGGCAGTGCCTGGATGATGCGATGGTATATCAGTTCCTCCCAACACAACAAACATACACTCACATACAAATACATACAAACAAGAAGATACAATCCCAGGCCCCCCCCCCCAAAAAAAAATAATAAAACCACACACATGGTTATCCACTGAACTATTCCCAAATTAAATCTCAATAGAAACATTGAGGCAATAGCCACTCAGGAAAAATTCTCAAATTCAGCCACAGTTAAAATTTGGCTATTTTGGCTCCAGTTTTCCATTTTCATTTTCCAGGATTTCATTTGTGGATTGTGGAATTTTAATGTGAATAAGGTTACCAAAAGAGAACATGTAGAATTGGCCTGCGCTTCTTCCAAATAACATTATACTTTACAATCACAACTTATATTTTTGTATTAACCCCTTAAGGACACAACTTCAGAAGGTTGTCTTACGCTTAAGGACACAAGCCATTTTTGCATTTTATTTTGCTGTTTGTATTCAAACGCAATTTGCATCTGTCATTTATTGCACCAACACGTATTATACATCGTTTTTAGAGGGCAAACATGGCTTTAATTTGATGTCACATATACATAGATACATTCTCATTAATTATTAAAACATGCCAAAAATTAAAAAATCAAACAAAAAAGTTAGAAAAAGTAATTCGAAATAAATTAATTTATGTGTCTTGATTTATAGAGTACATCATATGTATAGGATTTCAGCTTATTTTGAAAGCTACAGGTCACAAAATACAAGGACTAAAATAAAATTTCAATTTGCAACAATTTTAGAAGTTGGTATGTTTGTCTTGTAGGTTTAGTAGCATCACAGAAAAAAAAATTGCCAAACAAAAGTATATATTTATATAAAGTAGACATCACAGGCTATTTACCTAAGGTTAGTTTGACACTTTTTACGTAGCCATTTCATCGCCAATCTCTGCTAAATATTGGAGTAAAATTTAGTTTTTTCTTTATTTTGGCATATACACATATTACAATGTTTTTGTAATGTGTTTTTCGTAAACTTGGTGTGTGCTATTCCTGCACAGAACCCCATATTGTGTTCAGCTACATCTGCTGAGTATAACGATACCCCCATTGTATGCCTTTGGCACTTTTCTGTAAAGCTACAATGCTATCAGAGACAAGGCTATTTCAGTTTCTATAGTTAGAATTTTCGTAGATGGATTTGATGGGTCTATGTCTCATTTTAGGGTATTATAGCAGTGTGACTGTTCAAATAACCCCACAAAGGGCTTTCATTTGATAAAGCAGACACCCCTGGGTATCTTATATGGTGTATATTGTGCCTTACCTTGTCACCCTTTTTTCACCAATTTATGTCAATGTTTGTGGCGAGGGGGAAAAAAAATAGCATTTTATGTATATGACGCATTTTTGCTGAGTATTTCTTACACTTGATATGTACCACTGTCATAAAAATCCCCAAATTATGCTCAGTTACATCTTCTGAGTAAAACAATATGCCCAATGTATGACCTAAACCATGGGTCCTCAAATTCCGGCCCCCCAGATGTTGCTGAACTACAACTCCCATGATTCATTGAATTACATAGATAGCCAGAAAATCAGGTGAGTTGTAGTTCAGCAACAACTGGGGGCCGGAGTTTGAGGACAACCTAACCTAGTCACTATTTTGTGAAGTTACAAAAGAGACGTGTCAAGTTCAGGTTTTTAAGTGTGAATTTTCATGGAGGGTTTTGATGCGTCCGTGTCCCAATTTGGAGCACTTGAGCAGGCTACATATTACAACTACACCATAAAGGCATACCATTTCTTAAAGAAGACATCCCAGGGTAATTCAAAAGGCATATTTTGAACTTTAGCGTGGGATAATTTGTCCGCTAACTTGTACCAAGTGTAGTGGTAATAAGCATTTTTTCTGCCTTTTTGACACACAAAGTGAGTTTGCACAGTATATTTTGCAAACCTTATGCATGCTACGGCTGTATAATACTTCATATGTTTCTCAGATATGTCGTCTCAGTACAGCCATACCCCCATATGTACCTTTGCCAGGTATATGTGGATATGTAAGGGACTCATTTGAGACACAATCATTCCAGTTTTTTTCAAACTTTGAATTTTTACCCTGTGTCCATGTCCTATTTTAGCAGGCTATATAATCCAACTACCCCATAAAGGCATACCATTTCTTAAAGTAGACATCCCAGGGTAATTCAAAAGGCATATTTTGAACTTTAGCGTGGGATAATTTGTCCACTAACTTGTACCAAGTGTAGTGGTAATAAGCATTTTTTCTGCCTTTTTGACACACAAAGTGAGTTTGCACAGTATATTTTGCAAACCTTATGTGTGCTACGACTGTATAAGACTACATATGCTGCTCAGCTATGTCGTCTGAGTAAAACAATACCCCCATATGTACCTTTACTAGGTATATGTGGATGTTAAAGGGGCACATTTGAGACGCAGCCATTCAGTTTTTCGCTGTGTCCATGTTCCATTTTGGAGTAGTTTAGCTGGTTGATTATTGAAAAGGTGGGGTAATTCAAAAGGTGTATTTTGAACCTTACCGTGGGATAATTTTTTCTCTAGTTTGTTCCAGGTGTAGTGGTAATGAGCATTTTTAAATGTATTTTTTTTACTTTTTAAAACTAGTTTTTAAACTTTTTATTTCTTATTGACTTTTTAACACTTTCCTAAACTTTCTTAAAACTTTTTTTTTTTACATCTTTAACATTTTTATAAGCTTCTTTTTTTTTTAATGCTAACCCCTAACTAGCAGTAAGCAGCACTAACCGTAAATTCCCAAATTCTCCAATTTCCCATAACACCCACCCACCCCGGCTAGCAAAATATATAATTTTACAATATTTAAATTAATTCAATAAATTGAACCCCTGAGGGTTAAAAAAAAAAGTTAACCCTAAGGGGTTAATTTTTTTTATCAGATCACAGTATACTACTGTGATCTGTATTTTGATCACTGTAGGTAGTGATCAACTGGCAGGGAAGGGGTTAATTTTTATTAGGACTGGGTAAAGGAGGGTGGAATTTTTTTAAACTTTTAAAAAAAGTTATTAAAACATTTTTTTTTACTTTTTAAAACTTTAACGTTAACCCCTAGTTAGCCTAACACCAAATTCCCTAATCCCCCACTAACTTACACCCACCCCAGCTAGCTAAATATATAATTTTTATATATTTAAATTAAATACAATAAAATTAACCCATTAGGGTTACAAAAAATAAAATTTGACCCTCAGGGGTTAAAAAAGAATCAAATCAGATCACAGTAAAATGTAGTCCCTGCCAATTGATCACTGAAGTCAGTGATCTATTGGCAGGGAACGGGTTAATTTTTATTTAAAATGGGTAAAGAGGTGGTAGGATTTTAAACTAACTATTTTATTTTTTACATAGGGAGAAGATCAGCCCTGATCCATCTCCCTGCACTTCACACACCGCGGAAGAGCAGGGAGGCGGATCGTGAGTCCCTGCAGCACATGTGCTCGCTCTGACAGCCTGTCAGAGCGATCACTGCTGCAGGGGCAGCACGATCAGGTGCTCCCGGTCTGCCCACTACAGAGGCCCACCGCAATCTGGGGTTAACTTTACCGCATGACGGACCTGGTCCGTCATTCAGCGTTAACTGCTTCACCGCTATGACGGACCAGGTCCATCATCGCGCGAGAAGGGGTTAAAAGAAAAGTTTTGTTTTCATGTATTCTTTTCACATGTAGGAATATCAACAATACACCTGAGATTTATTTAAATGAACACCTAAGTCTATATGCATAAAACATATAACTATGCCAGAAACTCACATTTTTATGTTTTTGTAGTGTCAACTTTTGGGTTGCATTCACAAAAGTATATAGGTAAAAAAAAACCCTATAGCATCGCACTAGATGGTGACTAGGGAAAATAAAAATAAAAAAATTAAAAAATGATATATCGGAAAAATAATATCTGAGTATGTAACAGATGTTAAAAAACAATGAACAGGTATATTGGCATTAAACTGGATATTATATAAATCTCACAATAGTCCCAAACCTAAATTTAATCATAAAATTCCACACTGATAATAAAAGTTCATGTTAATAATAGACAGATACTGTTCATAGTATGTCAGCCAACTGTTCCCTCAATCATATTCCCTTGTAAATCATCCACAATTTGTCTCCTTCTCTTGTTCTGCCTCTCACTAAAATTTCCAATCTCTCCCTCTCCTCTGACACATTTCCTCTACCCTTCAAACATGCAACCATAACCCGATTCTGAAAAAGCCCAACTTTGACCCCAATTCCCTGTCCAACTACCACCTTATCTCGCGTCTGCCATTTGTCTCCAAGATCCTTGAGTGCGTATG